TTATACAGGCAGTATAAGTAAGATGGATGCAGCTGCTTGCTCTTGAAAGTGAAGCTAACGGGAAAGCGCTTTAAAATCTGCCATTTTTTTAAAGGCCAGCAGGGGGAGACTCCTCTGGTTGCAGAAAGATTTCTTTTTAAATAAAAGTCTAGGAAAAAATGTATTATTACATGAGAAAGAATAGAGCTGATAGAGCAACTAGGGAAGTAAGTAATTTGAGACAGAGTGAAATTCCATAGCAAATAGTCTAACCAGGGGTCACCTTTAGAGTGCTTGTTAAAACGCTACAAACAGAATGCCTGTAACTATAAAATAACTATAAAATGCAGGAAACGCAGGGCAACTGCAACAATGCTGAAATCTTGCTCATTACAGTTCAAGATATACAAGAAACTGAATTCGGGGTACATGCAGGACGACACACAGACCCAGATTTTACAGTAACAAACTGTCTATGGCGATAACAGCGGAAACTATTACATTTTACATAGCACTGAGCACTTATATATTTAAAACAGGTAGAGTTTAAACTAACATGAAAAACAAACAAACTGGTAAATCTAGCTGGTGTTACTTTGTTTTATCCAACAGGAACATTTCATACATAAAACTGTCTAAAATAATTTATATTTGGGAATTTAGTTATTTTTTTAATACAGGGTGTGTCTTTAGTTTTTTTGTGTGTTAATTTTAACACAATCCTGGTTTAAAAAATACTTAAAATATTTGATAAGTGTGCATTAAAGGTTTTAGTAACAGTAAATCCGTTCATAATTAGGGCAAACAATTCTAGGAAACTGTCTAATTTAGTTTTTTCTCACAACTACTTCAGTTTAAAAAATTAAAATGTTAACACAAGCAAATGAAATACTGACTAAATAAATAAAGCTATTACTGAATATAATATAACTAAAGTAAACTAGACGTACCAAAACTTAAGTCATCTGTCCTTGACACAGATTGAAATGGCAGAGATTGTGGCTGAGGAGGAGAAATTGCTCAGTGAAGCTTTCATTTTTCAATGCACACAAAGCTACACAACAGAGCAGATACCAGTTAGCTCACTAGGCTTGGGTAACCTGAGACAACCTATTAGATCAATGCTAACCACACATCCAACACGCAGACCACAGTCAGTTTGGAGCTGGTGAGACGGGTCAGTGCTTGTGCGGGAAACAAAACTCAAGTGAAGCGATAATGGCAGGTTCAGTCACGAATGCGGCATCACTCCACACTGATCAGCGTGGATATTTAGAAGCAAGCTACCCCTGCATATAAACAGCGTGGACAGAGGACGGTCGGGAGCAAAAGGTAGCTCATTTAAAGAAAAACTCAAAGCCTTTAAAGGAAAATATTCATGGTTGTGAAACCTAACCAACATGCATAAACGTGCTGTGCAGTTCGAGGTCAGAGGTTAGCACTAAATGAGAGGGGATGAGTAAAAGCAGCTTCAAATGGGTGACAAGCAAGAGGTCAAGGTACGATCAAAGGATGAGACACTAAAACGGTGCCCAAGAGGACTCCGTGGCCTTTAAAGGGGGAGAAAACTGCCAACATCCATCTGTGTGCATTTCACTCCCCTTCATCTCAGCGCTCAGCGTCCTTCCCACTCCTTTCGTTTTGACTATGACGGGCTGCCCCCTTTAAAAGAATGAAATAAATAAAGTAGCATTCCTCCCCCCTCCCTGAGGGTGGGCAGCCCATGCAGGAAGGTAAACATGTCCACTGTGGTGAGCTCAGACCACGCGGATGCATTGCTGCAGGTAACAGTCGTCCTCCACAGCTCTGTGCCCACCAGCAACATCTCAGCGTCCACTAGTAGTGCACACTAGCCTATGTCTGAACAGATTTCCACTTCACTGCCAAACCGTCTCTCCTCAAGCAAGGACATCCACGGATTTGACGGGGAGGTTGATTCAAATCAGGGTCAACAGTCTTACCTCTACCTACAGCACCTGGCTGATGGCGTGTATTCTGTCTGGAAAGCGTCACCTTTTTGACTTCTGAAGTGCCGACTTTTTTTTGTAAAGGCTTTCTATTAGACAGGTTGGAATTCATCTTGAAGGCTTAGTGGGTGTTCAGATGAAAACGGCCCCGCGATAAAATAATGCAAGGGGCAGAGCTGATGAGAAAAGGTTGCTTCAGGTAACGGTGAGACACTGGAGTACAATATCTAGTGAGAAACTGCAGATTCAAAAGGATCCAGACTAGATTTATCAACTGGTCACCAAAATTACTTGCAATCTCCCTATGGATATTATAAAACCAAAATGCAATCACCAAGCAACCAAATTTTTCCTAGTTATTTTTACATTAGGGTGATTGAACCATTAGCAAATAAGCTAATGTTAGTTAGTACTAGCAATAAGAAAGCCTGCTTTACCTAAAGAAGCCATCTTTCCCAGCAGGTAGAAAATACGGTCTTTGATACATGGAAGTATTGAGTGTCTAAGCTCAGCTAATTCACCCCAACTCCAAGAACTGATATGGTGACCTAGGCATTTTTGAATCAGCTAACGAGATACATACAATGTAGATAAGTTACAGCTAGCAGACTAACAGCTGAAAAACATATACAGAAGTACAACCTATCAAATTATTACAGAAGTCAGTGAAATCCGTAACACTAAATTATATCTTGGTTCAAACATTACTGATTTTAACCATCAGTGAATCATGTAATGGCACAAAGCAATAAGTGTAAAATATTAGTAACAGCTAACTTAGGGGAGGTCAGCCAGTTCACTGTAATGAAACATGTATCAAGTACTGGTAGCTTTGCCATGTCCAAGTCTGCTTTGGTGCCACGATAACGACACTCAGACACACAATATACCCTAGACTCTCAGATGCTGTAGACGAGCTGGAAGTCTGGAAGCTTCACACAAACATGAAAGAAACGCTGACTTCCGCAGAGTTAACTATCACGTTTTTTTCTCGTGAAGTTATTCAGAGCATCTGCACATGTAAACAAATGAATCCATTAAATCACACACAATATAAACAGTTTACTCCAAAATATTCAATCATGAAAAAAAATGCATGCATGCAATCACAGTCAGCGACCCACAAGCCGAGGATAGCTGGAAACGTTGTGTTAGTGTACTATATTTACACACAGAATGATGTAAACAAAGAGTTATCCAGTGGAAAAAAAGAGCATGGGTGAAGTTCAGTTTAACTAATTTGTGATTCCAATGCTTCTTCTTGTGAGGAATACATAGGCTATGTCTGTCTCCTCTGTAAAAGCACAGAATTATATCAAGTGCATGAACGTGCATTGCACAAAAAGCAATCAACTTGAACTAATCGCACAACAACTGCCAAACTGAAAATTCAGGTCATCTATTTGGCGTACAGTACACTGATGTTCTTAGAGTCCAGCCTATACGCTGCATAATCCCGTTCCTCTTTTTTAATGCGTAGGTGGACAAGGTGTGGGCTGATGTTCATTACTTTCCTCTCTGCAAGTCGATACTCTTCCTTAGTCTTCAAGTGCTCCCTTGGTGATGCTATGTATACCCTAGCTGCCAAATACAGCATTATACCAAGTGTGTGTGTGTGTCTGTCTGTGTGTGTGTGTGCTCTCACATGTAGAGAAAAGAAAATGATAAGATGAGGGTGACAGGAATACTCATCTACATCCAAGATTTGGTCTATAATAATATATGTAAATATGAAAGAGAGTTCTTTGACAATATTGTTTCTCTGCTACAGAGCTACCACCACCCACTGGTGAAAGGTGTCAGTGTGTGCCCAGCTTCTGTAAATGACAGGAAGCATGTTGTTAAAAAAATGTCACCAACAGTGCTCTCTCAAGAGCTGAACCTAGAAGCTTTCCTGCCTCAAGACATCTGGGACCAAAAAAAAAAAATCCACCATCACTGGTAATGTGAAATATGACTTTGGATGAGACCAGTCTCAGGGCTTCAGGTCTGACAGACATGGGGAGGATGACAAAGGATGATGATGGTTGTTGTTTCCCTTATGTTTCCAATCACACAAACAGAGGCCGGGCTGAAAAAGGCCAGAGAGCCTCAGCCTCCTCAGCCGGCAGGCAGTTCAAAATCAGGGGACAGAGTGAAAAGAGAACTAAGATGAGGGAGAGTGAGAGAGGGGTAAAGGCAATCAGAGAGAGAGTGAGAGAGAGCGAGAGAGAGCTAAGCTGCCTGCAGACACCACGCGGCTCAGAGCAGATCGACAGTGACGGCTGGCTGATTAGTCAACTCGCAGCCCCCAAGACTGAAGTCTGCGTGCACGCACACACATGCAGAGCTGCACTGGAGTTCATTTAAATAAATCCAGCTTTTATCAGTACTCAAAACACATGCGCACACACCTAAACAAATGGATACTCATGACACCTGAAGGAGGCTCATGCAGTAACCTTGAGTCTGTGTATGCAGGGCTTGAATTTCAGTGCAAGATTGTGGGTATTTCATATTTTACGACTGATTCCTGCACACATAAAATTCTCTAGCCTAACATATAAACATAATTATGATGACTGCCCAGAAGTGCTGCAGAGGTAGACCGATATCCGTCCTGGACAACACCTTGTGCACTGCCTACAAAGCCTGTAAGGTCCATCTGCTGTTTCTAGGCATCTTGCTACCATCCGCAAAAATCTCAAATTTAAGAAGCTGAGACATACTCTGGATGCCATCAACTTTGAGCTGTAGAGTAATTTCTGACACAAATATGTTGTTTAATTCACCTGCTAAACAATTCTTAAGACCACCTTCTTTAATCTGTGTGTTATCATCAAAATTAAAAATGACAATCCTTATGAAATTGATGTTATTAACCTTCACTCTCAGCGTTATCAGGTAAAAGGTGAGGCAACAGTCTAAAAACACATTTCAGTCACTCACAGCAATAAAAGGAGCTCAATTGTAAAATATAAGGTGCATGCATAGCAAGACCATGAAAAGAACAGAGGAGACAATGGAGACAAGAGTGAAGAAAGCCATTAAACAATATCCTTCAGAATTAATTACCTTAAGGAGATAGATGGGGATGTTGCTGAAGTCCACGGGGAGTTTAAGAAGGAAACGAGCAGAAAACTCTCCTGTCTGGGGGTGAAAAAAAAGGTCAATTGTATTTCATGGAATAGATATTTTATAATGCTCGCCTTTTTATATCAGTACTGAATGGACTAATACTGACTTTTAGTACTCTTGCTATGGTTTAACAGATGGGACATGTGACTTAAATACAAGAAAAAATAAAGTTTTCAGATGAATACAGTCCTGAAAAACTAAGTACACACTTACTGCTTCTATAGGAATTAGAGGGTAAGAAGCAGCCAGGTACTGATATGAACTAGATGAACTGATTAAATGAAAGTAAGCATCTGTACAAAAGCAGAGGTTTTATGAGCTTGCTGGTCTTCAGCATTCAGATGTGTGTTAAAGAAATGCCACAGTTTTCCTAAGAGTGGAAAATTGCAAAAGATCCAAGAACTCTAACTCTCCAACTCTAGAGACCTCAGTCAGTGAGTTAAATGCTAAAAACAAAAAAACAATGAACAAGAATGGTCATACGCCACGTTTGGTGAAAATCGGACACAGCATGTCAGCAAAAACATCTCATATCAACTCTCAAGCACAGTGCAGAGAGGTGAGAGAGCAGAGGTGTTGATTTGGGATTATTTTGCAGCCCCTGGACCTGTCAATGAATCGACCACATACTCCTTTGTATACTTAAGTATTCTAGAGACAAATGTAAGCTGCCCTTAGCCGTTTTCTGAAAGCTAAAGCTTTTAAAGCAACCCAGTCAAAGACGAGACCGCAACTTGACTAAAGGGCTGTGATGGGAAAATTTCTCTGTAACAATGCGAAAGACTAGACAAGTCATACAGAAAAAAATCACTTCAGGATATTGCTGCCAATAGCAGTTCAACAAGTTGCTAAATTATGAGGGCTATGTAGTTTTTCCTGGGACTGTAGACCTCTAAGTTGGGAGGTTTTTTTTCTTCCTCATTTGCTCTAATTTGTACATTTTTCCCCCATTACACGGCCTCACAGATGATAAAATTCAGTCCATATTTTCTCTTTTTCCATTTCTTGGAATAAGACATGTTCCCCACACAAAATTAAACTAATGATGTTTGCATCTGTAACCATGTTTTAAAAAATAAACTTTTTAAAACACGGGACACTGACACACTCTTGTTCTTTAAAGTTCCAAACTAATTAAAATATCTTACCTGAATTATCTGATGTGTCGCTGTGACATAGTGACCGCAACAATACAACACTTGTTTGGCTTATTTCTTTCAATGGCTTCATCAAACTACATTTTATTTAAAATAATACCAACACTGTATTTGAAGTGTTATATGTTATATGCAAATTTATGCAGTATGATGTTCCAAGGCCAAACACTGAATCTAAATGTACAACCTGTGGTGTAAGCAGAGAACTGGTTTGGTTATTTCCACTGTACTTTCAGATAATGTCTTCACACATGAAAACAGAAAAATAAGAATTACCTGAAAATCTGTAATAGCACAAAAAGCACACAGTTCTGACTTTTAAACACTGGAGCAGAGTCTTATTACCTGATGTTTTCCCTGAGGCTATGTGTAGTTAGAGATCCAGACACATGAAAAAGTATGAAATTGCGGAAAGTACAAGTGTCTACGTGTTTTCAGGTTGTGTTTGCCTGTAATTGTGACCAAGATGATGGTAACAAAAATTGCAAACATTTCTGTCTTCCTGTCTTGTGTTTACTCATTGACCAACATATTTTAGTTATTTTTTCCACACGTGTTGCCTACAGTCTGAGGCACACGTGAGAATATGATCTTTAATTTCTCGTAATATCCTCATTTGTATTTGCTGTTTGCTGAAGGGCCATCAGTTCCACTAATGGCGTGTGCACTTAAGCGGCTTTTGATTATTCAGTATTGTTAAATAAAATCTTGTGTAAGTGTACCGCTGGGAGCGGTCTGTTGGCTGCTGAGGTCATGTGACGTCAAATGAACAAAAGATAGGCCCTGGAATGCAGAACTCTTAAATACAGGAAATGTCGAAATATCTTGTTTGTTACACTTGACATTTGCATTAGCTATTTGGTTATTTCGTGTTTGATTGTGCAAGTTAAAACAACTATTAAACTAACTATAATTTGTTAGCATTTGCTTCCCTTGTGTGTCAAAGTCAGTCCAGTCAGGCACTGTAAAAGTTCTCCTCTGTTTCTTGTCTGTTGGGTCTGTTTTGATCAGCCTGGTCTGAGTTTATTTTGCTAGAGTGTTATGTTATGCTGGCATTTTAACTTGAGTGTAGTTCTGTTTATTTGACCTTCAGATCCCAGAGCAATTATGTGACTTTTTCTACGTTTCTTTATAAAGAGCTTTTAAGTTAAATAAAGTATATTTGCTTTAAGACCTAATTGTACTTGTCGTGCCTAGCCAGCTCAGTCCCTCAGAGTGACGGGCAGAATAACGACTACCCTCTCCACTTGCACTCCAAGGTGGAGTCTGAGCCTGTCCACCTAACAAGAGATTTGCTGGACAGGCAGCTTCATATATTGTTTACTTATTTACTTGCAATTAAAATACTTGCTGAGGAGTGCCTAAAAAAAGGTATAATTTTATAATCCTTTTAAGCATGGGTGTTCCTGCTTTCACACGCACTAACATGTGTACACAAATGCGCACTGCCAAAAATATAGTTTAATTCTGTGGGAGGAATGAGTTCACAGAGATATAAGAAAAGAGGTTAGAATATTGCACCATTTAAGATTCACAACAGTTTAGTTTCTCAGTGCAAGAGTATAATGGCCAAGATGGGCAGCAGTTTAATCAAATACACATAATTTTGTGCATAAGACACAAAATAAGTTTAAATCAATACACAAGATCAAAACATCCAGATTTTAAACTTCAAAATTAAGAATGTGCTAATAAAGTCAGAAAGGGTTAACTGTCACAACTCTCTTAGGCCAAACAGAGAAAATAATACAGACCAACAACTGTGTTGTAAATAAGAATATACCAGTGGAAACCTTTCCGCTGTGTTTCTTTTTAACTGCTACCACGCAACTCTTGTTTTCTTAAGATGCAAAAACTTCACAATCACAAAATCCATAAACAGGAGCTTACCCAGCTGTTCTTGCGTCCAGCATAAATCTCCATGTTGCGGCCGTAGTTGGGGTCTTCCAGCAGGCTGTCATACTCAAAGAGCAGTCTGGAGCTCTCACGCAGACGCAGGCACTGGTAGTGATGGTACTGCTGGATGAGCTCCTTCACCAGCTGGAGCAGACATTCAGGATTCCCAGCATCCCAGTGGACCAAGTGCTGAAGCAGACACCAGAGATGGTATGTCAGTAAAGATAATAGACAGCCCATCCATCAACAAGTCCATGTTAACATGTGAAGTCTGTACTCTAAGTACAGTGCTCCCTCGCTATAACGCGGTTCACCTTTCGCGGCCTCGCAGTTTCGCTGATTTTTTTTTGTGTGCAATTTTCCATGGATTTTTTGTTTGTTTGTTTGTTTGTTTTTTTAAGCAGCGCATTGTGTTCTGCATCCTGATTGGCTTTAGACCACTGTCAATCAATCTCGTGCCGTGTCTGCTGTACAGTACAGAATGCGTTGTCAGATTTATCTTTGATCGCAAGCAGTGTGACTCTGAAGTGCTGCACTGTATGTTTGGAAGTTTTCCCCCTAACAAACACAACACTGTCGACGAAATGTCGACACCTGCAGGTGCCTTTGGTTTCATTCTAAGATACTGGACTTATTTTTCCACGAAGGTTTGAACTTTGAAAGTGTTTAACCAAGAGAGAAAAGTGAGAAAACGTTCATGCCTGTCTGAGAACAGAGTATAAAGTGTGTAGTGAGGGTGTTTTACAGCCTTAAAACATCTATAATAATTATAAAAAATAAAGCTGGCTACTTCGCGGCTTTCACCTATCGCGGGTTATTTTTGGAACGTAACTCCCGCGATAAACGAGGGACCACTGTATATGCTATTTTGTTCATACAAATATTTAAAATGTGTTTCTTTTGTAATACAAATGATTGAAAATGATTGTTAAAGACATTCATATTTTAGAAAATCTTTCGTAGATAAAGGAATCAGTACAAGCATCATGATCACAAATAGGACCATTTAAAAAACAATTCCTGAATAAAATATACAGTGGGGCAAAAGAGTATTTAGTCAGCCACCGATTGTGCAAGTTCCCCCACTTAAAATGATGACAGAGGTCAGTAATTTGCACCAGAGGTACACTTCAACTGTGAGAGACAGAATGTGAAAAAAAAATCCATGAATCCACATGGTAGGATTTGTAAAGAATTTATTCGTAAATCAGGGTGGAAAATAAGTATTTGGTCAATAACAAAAATACAACTCAATACTTTGTAACATAACCTTTGTTGGCAATAACAGAGGTCAAACGTTTACTATAGGTCTTTACCAGGTTTGCACACACAGTAGCTGGTATTTTGGCCCATTCCTCCATGCAGATCTTCTCGAGAGCAGTGATGTTTTGGGGCTGTCGCCGAGCAACACGGACTTTCAACTCCCGCCACAGATTTTCTATGGGGTTGAGGTCTGGAGACTGGCTAGGCCACTCCAGGACTTTCAAATGCTTCTTACGGAGCCACTCCTTTGTTGCCCGGGCGGTGTGTTTTGGATCATTGTCATGTTGGAAGACCCAGCCTCGTTTCATCTTCAAAGTTCTCACTGATGGAAGGAGGTTTTGGCTCAAAATCTCACGATACATGGCCCCATTCATTCTGTCCTTAACACGGATCAGTCGTCCTGTCCCCTTGGCAGAAAAACAGCCCCATAGCATGATGTTTCCACCCCCATGCTTCACAGTAGGTATGGTGTTCTTGGGATGCAACTCAGTATTCTTCTTCCTCCAAACACGACGAGTTGAGTTTATACCAAAAAGTTCTACTTTGGTTTCATCTGACCACATGACATTCTCCCAATCCTCTGCTGTATCATCCATGTGCTCTCTGGCAAACTTCAGACGGGCCTGGACATGCACTGGCTTCAGCAGCGGAACACGTCTGGCACTGCGGGATTTGATTCCCTGCCGTTGTAGTGTGTTACTGATGGTGACCTTTGTTACTTTGGTCCCAGCTCTCTGCAGGTCATTCACCAGGTCCCCCCGTGTGGTTCTGGGATCTTTGCTCACCGTTCTCATGATCATTTTGACCCCACGGGATGAGATCTTGCGTGGAGCCCCAGATCGAGGGAGATTATCAGTGGTCTTGTATGTCTTCCATTTTCTGATGATTGCTCCCACAGTTGATTTTTTCACACCAAGCTGCTTGCCTATTGTAGATTCACTCTTCCCAGTCTGGTGCAGGTCTACAATACTTTTCCTGGTGTCCTTCGAAAGCTCTTTGGTCTTGGCCATGGCGGAGTTTGGAGTCTGACTGTTTGAGGCTGTGGACAGGTGTCTTTTATACAGATGATGAGTTCAAACAGGTGCCATTCATACAGGTAACGAGTGGGGGACAGAAAAGCTTCTTACAGAAGACGTTACAGGTCTGTGAGAGCCAGAGATTTTCCTTGTTTGAGGTGACCAAATACTTATTTTCCACCCTAATTTACGAATAAATTCTTTACAAATCCTACCATGTGGATTCATGGATTTTTTTTTCACATTCTGTCTCTCACAGTTGAAGTGTACCTCTGGTGCAAATTACTGACCTCTGTCATCATTTTAAGTGGGGGAACTTGCACAATCGGTGGCTGACTAAATACTTTTTTGCCCCACTGTAATGGGGTGATAAATGACCCAATTCATCCATTTTAGTTGCTAAAACAACTTGGTTGCTTGAGACCGTCAAAGCAAGTCACCAAATAGCGATGCCTCATCATGTGATGGTGTACTAAGTCCAAATAAAATAATAATAATTATAACTTAGATTTGTATAGCGCCTTTCAAGAAACCCAAATAAAAGTGCGAGTGTAGAGGATGAAAGGATCAAACAAGGGACTTTCATCCATGTTTAACGTGAAACCAAAAGTAAATGTGGAGTTATTATTTTTAGACAAAAGCATCTTTCATTTTCAGTTACTTAAAGAAAATATCTGTTGTCAAAGACAGTTTGGTTAAGGTGTTTTTGTGCTGCAAAACTCTCGGATCACAAAAACTTTGAAACTGTAGAATGTGGTCTTTTCATTTGAAAAACTAACTATTTCCCATTACCTTGGGATAACACATAAGAAAACACAAACTTCTTAGGTAACACAGATGTTTTGCCTCTATATTATGTATACTAAGTAATGCTGTAAGAAATGGCAATTTTGAGTCAGCAAAAACTCTGACAAGGCATAATAATGTCTTTATCCCCATATCCATCATATTTCATCTGCACACTCCTCAAATATATCAGCACAACCTGTTGGAAAATTATAGACTACAGTATAGGTTATTTTGCAAGGAGCAATCATGGAGCGCATCAGGTAGTGCACTATATCTTCTCTCTCTGAAGGCTAACAGGAAGTATTTTGGAGCTCATGGTATTACAAGCATATATAGAAGTGGACATCTAGTTTAATCCCTATTTGGGGTGAAGCATTGCTGTCAGCTAATCTCCAATTTTAGCAACATATTCCAAACTGGTTACAACAGCGTAAAATGTTGTTACCCAACTGAAAATAGTTGCATAGAGAAAGAAAATAATACTATTTGTATCAGTAAAGATAGACCTTAAGAACATGGTAGTGGGGAAAAAACTGGTTCATCTTGGAAAAAGGTTAGTTGCCTAATTCTGAAGAGCCTACTTCCCATTACAGATTGAGGAGGAAAGGGTTGTGCTAAAGGATGTCCTGTGGCCACATTTAAACTGATATGGAAAAGTACTGAGTCTGAACTGATGTACGTGTCACATTTCTGACCTCTGTTGCCACAATGATTGAAGATTTTGGATAACAAGGCAGTTTGTATTGTCAGGATGCATACAAGAGCCCAACCGCTTGATTTACTTATCTGATTTTACTACAGCGATTAAATATCTGATGTTTAAATAGATTCGATTTAGTACATGTCTAAATGCTCTGTTGTGAATCTCTCTTTCACCAAACTCAGTTTTAGTCATCACAAGCAGAACTTGACCCTTTGGGACCAATATGCAAATTTACAGGATGGAGCTACAACCATCTGCCACATGTGAGTGAGCAGAACCAACCAAACATGACCAACTGGTCTAATTCTACCAAATAAAATAAAACAAATTGCCCTTTTCCCCCCTCACTCTGAAAAAGAACCCAATCACTGATGCGCAAGGAATAAAACAATTAGAATTAATGTGAACAACACCGTGCAAAAAATAAACAGCAGAAAACATGTCAGGTCTAATCAAGACAAATGGATGGCTGCGCTCTTGACAATGAATGTTGTGAGAGCTTTATAACAGAGATGCAAATCAAGACCAAAGCAAAGAAAAATAAATTACTGATTTAATGAGTCTACCTCATTGTCTGGACTGGAAAAGGCTGTGCGTGTTTAAAGAGAATCAAACGATAATTTAAAATTGCTCTTTGACGAGTGGCCATTTGCCACTTCTAGTTTTTACACAACTGCTGCCTTGTTCACAATCATCCAAGGTGATTAGATACAAGTCATTTTGGAAAAGGTAAGATTAAATCTGCCAGCGGGGAAACTTTTTCTCCCCAAAATATTTAACATGCAGACAATGAGGAGGGGAGGGAAAGGGGTCAAATGAACGTTTTGGTTTAAGGATGATGGCCGTCTCGTGCAGCCCCCTGGTCCTGAAAAGTGAAAGTGAGTCTCCATTCTGAAACTCATTCTCATTCTGAAAGTGAAATACTGCTGGCAGATTCAAATTGTGGATAAGTCAGAACCAAGTCATGCAACTTGATGACATAACCACACTGGCCCAAGTAAATGTGAAACTTCCCCAACCTAAATGATGAGCAAGCTGGAAAAGGATGCCTTTTCAGTAAGCACTGAGTAGGTGGAAGGATTAATAGGTGCTGGGAATGCCGTAACCGTTAACATGCATTATATTAAGGTATCAAAATCAGGATCTATTTGACTTGCATTAGCTTGTCTCCTCAACTGTCTGTCTCCCTCCTGGCAGTCCGGTGGAGAAGGCTTTCATTGTTTCACAGCAAACCACAGCCTCTTTTTGTCAAGGGAGGAGGAATGGCAAGGGCAGGCTAAACAGAGACGGTGACCTCATCGTCCTGACCCACCAGTGGTTACCAGCAATGCCGGGATTCCCGAAATAAGGGGGAGATGAAAACAAGGATGGGCATTGTCCAAAAGAGGCAGTCAGTGCCTAGGGGTAGGAGGGAGCTG